GGTTAATGAGTGATTAAGAAGTCTTACAGTGTAGCGTCAACTCTCCAAGATTGTAAACCTTGGTAATGATTTTGCTCGACCGACATTTCTCTTGAATGGCAAAAAAGTGGCTGTTCTTGCCAAAATACAAGTCACCCAAACAAAAGAGAAATACTTTCTTGTGTGTAACCACATCGCTCTTATTTTTTTATGTTTCTTTCTGTTCATACGCTTCAAACTCCTCAACATTATCAACTTCCTTACAAAAAAAACCATTGGCTGTTATTTTGTATCTCTTTAGCTAGTCTCCTACCTCTTATGATACGAACAACTCCATCTAAGACAAGAGACTGCTTACGTGGAGTGGAAGTTTAGGTTTTTCGGTGTTCTCGTTGAAACACGCGGCCATTGTTGAAGGGGCTGGCTTACCCAATCCATACTTTGTCTCACGTAAAATGGATTAGCGTCCTTTCTTGTCGCAATTGCTTACTTTTTCGACTATTTTGTACCTCTCTCGATTAAAGACAGTCGGGACGACAAGTTTGAAATCTTAATCTCGTTGAATTAGTTTTTTAAAGTCTGAAGGACCCGGTTACTTAGCAGTGGCCCTTCCTTATGATTATGTCTTGACGCTGACTCCTTGCTTAGAAAAAGAAAAAATCAGTTTTAGGGATTTTTTTTGGACTTGTGAAGATGAGTTTCTTCCGTGTTCTAAAGGCTTCCTGTTCCGGTTCTCCTCTTACGTAGAGCTGTGCGACAACGGCCGCTGCTTCATTTTCGGCTGGTGCTAAGAATTTTGTCTTCTTGAAGAGGGTCAGTGCAACATTGGCTTCTCTGGTGTCACTTGGGCTCGAGATCTATTTTGCTGCTTGGATGACAGCCGCCAAGGCTGCTCTATTTGTGGCCGGAGACCCCCAGTGGGAAGCCTCAAGGCAGGTGAAAAAGATAGAGAAGACGGTGTACAATATACCGCCGTATATATGGCATATGGTGGGATGGACAGTGGAAGTGGAAGAGACGTTAAATCAGCTAGATCAGATGGAGGATGGTTCCACATGTCAACAATTTCTTCACCAAAGAGAGACACTTACAAGTCAGAAATTTGGACTCAATAATCTCCCTCGCAAATCCATTAGACTCAGAAACATGTTTGGAGACCTCAATTTATCCTCTACCCTCTTGACCACTTGCTTGCATTTTGCAATGGCTGAGGATAATAAACGATCATCGAAAGACCAGTCTTTTCTTGTAATAACCTTAACAAGGCGATGCAAAACAATGATTCTGTCTGAAAAATCCTTCCAAGTGGTCTTGATCAACTGAAACTGAACCGAGTTGGCACCATCATGATACACTGCATTCTTGGGTTTGATATCTTTCGAGTAAACGTGATAAATAACACGAAGCAGCGTTTCTGACACGGGATCCCAGTGCGGTATTATACATCTCCATAGCTTATAGCAGAACCATAACAAAGTGCGAATGTCATCACAGAGCAAGAACATTAACCCGCAGATTCAATACGGTTTTTAATCTTCATTTTATTATTTTTTAACATCACCAATGTTAAACATATCGAATTAGTGTAACTTACTTAAGATTGTATAAAGCAAAAATTGTCATGCGGTATACCGTTACTTAATGACAGTTGTAAACTATAAAAATAAATATCTTTAAAAAATTTAAATCATACAATTTGCAAACTTTTATATATAATACATAATTATAAAATTTTAAAAATCATAAATTTTAGAAAACAAATCGTCCCGCTGTATACTACGGGTCAATCCCTACTTGTTTGTAATTTTTGATGTGATCATATACGTTTTTAGTTGGTATTAGATTTTACCCGCGGTACACCGCATGACGATTTATTTACTAAAAGTAGTAATAGTTAAAATATAATGATTCCGTCTCATATATAAAATTTGCAAATAGTATCATTTTATAAGAAATTTATATTTTTATAGTTTATAATTATTATTAATTAGCGGTATACCACAAGATAATTTTGTTTTATACAATCTTATTTTATAGTTTCATTTTATAGGGTGCAGTCTTTTTACAAGGAGAAGGGTAAAAGAATTCAGTCAGAAGAAGACGGCTCTCTCCTCAGGAATGGCTCTTCTGAACTCTAATTAATTTCGGATGACAAAAAAAAAAAAAAAAAGACGGCTCTCGGACCATCACAGCTTCAAATATTCGCCACGAGACTGCATCCTATACCACGAGATTATAAACTTTTTATTGCTTCAAATATATCAATTATAATATTTCCGGTAAAATGAAACAGTTGAACTAAAAACCGAATTAACCTATATACAAACTTTTAAATTTGGATTTGGATTCATTTTGATCTTATTTATAACATGACTATGAATCTTTGTTCAAATATTTTAGCCGATGTGGGACGTTGAACACACAATTTTCATTAATTGTGTAATATATGTCCGTTTTAAAAATTTCGAATCACAATATATGCAGAAAAAAAATTGAGATTTTTTTTTTAACTTTATGTATTATATGATGAATCAAAACAGTTAAAACATAATTAAACAAAGATGAAATGACAATCATAAATTTAAATTAGAACCAAATCTTCTAAATATTTTTATTATTAAATATAGAAACGTAATTAGTGGACACGGTCTAATTTTGGTAATATTTGTATCCGATTTTTAGGTAAACATCCAGTAGAAGAGTTGGATTACATATAACCTGATCCAAACAAGTTTTTATGAAGTAAATTTTGTATCGGGATGGATACCAACAATCTCGGATAAATTTTTAATCCACCCGGTACAAAATATACTTCAAAAATACTAGTATAGATGTGTGACCATGCAACATATTTTTTTTACTCTCAAATAATCATATCCTAATTCATATAGTTTTAACATTTTGTGGTCTTCAAATTCAAAGTTCAACCCTAACACTAAGGGGGTGTTATTCAATCATGGAGTTAAAGTTAATTCTTTAAGGTTTAGATTTGCTTTCTGATATTGTTTTTAAGAATCTGTTTGGGTGGATTTCAAAATCTCTGTAGTATATCTTGGATTTTAATTCTAATAATTTACTCATAAAATTCCAAAGAGGTTTCATTTCAAAATGATTTAATATACAAAGATTTTACAAGTATTTTAGTTTTGAATAACACTGGATTTTAATGAAGTATTTTAAATCTTAGTTGAATAACACCAAACTATTAAAATCTAATGAAGTATAAGATCCAATAACACTAGATTTAAAGTTAGATTTAGAATTATTAGTTGAATAACACAATATTAGTGTTGGATTTTTTTTTTTTGTCACAAGTGTGTTAAATTTTATTGAAGCCAACACGGAGCCATTACAAAAGTTAACACCAAACAGCAAAGCCAAGAAGGGAAAAATTAAATCTATCACTTAAACCCCGTCCCAGGAACCTTTACACTTAACGCGCGACCCGGCGGAGCCATGAGTGCAATCCAGTCCCGAACTTCCCGAACTTTTAACTCGGAGTCACCGAGCATGCTTTATGAAGCAAACATAACAAACATTAAATATAAACTAACAAAAAGCCCAAACCAAGCCCAATTAGGAAAAACTGATCGAGAAGAGTAGAGGAGGTTGACATCCAGCGTAGAAAACACGCGTCGATAAAGGACCAAAGCACATGACACGTGTGAAGAAGAAGAACTGTTGTTCGCCGTTCATCGCCGGCTGTTTTTCCGACTTCATGGAGCTCCTAACCACACCAGAAATTTCAATTCAACAGGTTCATATCAGGACTCCAAGAAGGAACTTCATTTTCAATAATCTACAATCTTCTCATCGAAATACAAAAGGCTCAAATCTGGAAAGTAAAGTATAAAACCGATCCGATAGCATTAGAAAAGAAAAGCCCCAAATCAACTCAGTTACTTAGAACATCAATACCAAACAACCATCAATGAAACTTCAATCCGTAACTCAAATCCTCTCTTAAAAGATGAAACATATAGGCTTGAATAAGGGATTAAGCCCTTTAAAGAAAGGAGGACCAGAGAATTACACAAACGATGGAGGAGATATAGACATAAGCAATCAACAAGAAAAAGGTAATTTAAAATCCTAATAATCGGACTCTAAACGGAACCTAAATCCGGCCAAGAAACCGGAGAGAAACCCAGGCCAAAGACGCCGGGAAAAAGCCCGACGAGACAAGAAAGAGAGTATCTTGCTCTCGGGAGATAAGCCAGCCAACGCCGCTAAAAGTAGCTGGTCGATGTCGGAAGCTAAGCCAGCCAACGCCGCCACAAGTGACAGACGATGCCAGAAGATGAGCCAGCCAACGCCGCTGAGGGAGCCAGCGATGCCGGATGATGAGCCGACCAAACGCCGCTGATAAAGCCGGTCGTTGTCGGAAAGTAAACTCTGAACCTGCTTTTTCTCTCTAAAAGATGTAGAGAGAGAAGAGAGAGAAAGAGGTTCTTCCTTAGTAAAATCCATCATTGAATAACACCACTAAGTAAAATATCCCATGCCTACACTAAAAAAAGAATAAGTAGCAGTCCATAATTCCATACAGTATATAAAGCATCATTAACGGGAGTATGTTAGGTAGATCTTAGGAAAATCTTAGGAATAAAAGTGATTAAATTTATTGAATTTTCTCCCTTAACACTAAGCAATGTTCCTTAACTAAGAGGCTTTTATTCACCTAAGAGACGTACACGTGTCAAGCTTTTATTCTACTCCTTTCCCTCTCTCTCTTCTCCTCCCCTCTCTCTCTCTTTTTCACGCGAACCATGGAGGCTTTCGATTTTTAATTTGGTCTGTTTGGAAGGAGAAGTCTGTTGATTCTCTTCCAGAGACTTCCGGAATATTGATTCCGCCGTTGAGTAATCGGAGCTGATTAGGTTTGATTTTGTTATGGAGATTTTGATTGCGCTTGTGAACAAGATTCAGAGAGCCTGTACGGCTCTGGGAGATTACGGCGAGGGAAGCTCCCTCCCAACTCTGTGGGACTCATTGCCGTCGTCGGTGGTCACGTCTGGGCTTTTGACAGCCCAACTGCATCATACTAGCTATTTCCCCTGCAAATCAGGATCTTGCTACATCTGATGCCATTAAGATCTCTCGTGAAGTTGATCCAAAAGGTGCCAAATTCTTCCTTCCTTATATGTTTGATATAGTTGCTTTTCTGAATTTACTTTGTTCTTTCTTTTGTGAGATATAATTCACTGTGATGACATAGTAATTATGGTTTTATTTCTATGGAGCATTGTATCTATGATTGAGTTGTGGAAGTTGTGGAAGTTTCTATTCTTGTAATTAGCTGTGGAAGTTGTTTAAACTAAAATGATGTTATCCAATGACTAGGAATAAGACTCAGTTTATGTTTGATTTTGGTTGCAGGTTCTGTTTGGCTGCGAATGTGATTATAGGTTACTCTTGCTGGATTTAGGAATGGCAAGTTTTCGACATTGGTGGCTACAAATGTTGCTGCTCGTGGTCTAGATATCAATGATGTGCAGTTAATTATTCAGGTTAGTCAACACCTATGAACTTTAATCATTCTGGTTTAATGCCTCGTTGGTTTGTTAGAACCAAATTTTATAGTTTTTTTTGTCAAATTGAATCTCTGTTTGAATGTGAGTTTTGTGTTAAAGCTTGAATCTTTTTGTCAATTGTCTTTATGTGTCTCAAAAACCTCACATGGTTTTGTGTTGAAGCTCAATGGAGGAATTTCAGTCATCTATAGATATGGAGTCCCATAGGAGTTCACCAGAGAATGACCTTTTATCGTCTGTAGCTTTGTCAGGTCCTTTATTTCGGAGCACAATCTATCATCTGAAAGTACCAGGGTCTTCAATTACGTCTCTGGGACCAGAATATACACTTCAAAACAAGTCATATAGCCTATATAGTGATAAAAGACAATGTAGAAGCTTGACTGAAACTACAGTATATGAGAAAAAAATTGGCTTCTACACCTTTTATTTGAAGGTGGACCCTTCTTGGCCTCTCTGCATGTACGAGTTACGTGGAAGGTGCAATAATGATGAATGTTCTTGGCAACATTTCAAGGATTTCTCTGATGACAGTTTGCAAAAAAGAAACAGCATGCAAGAGACATGTTTAGTGAAAGTGATAGATATCAAAGCTTGTATGAGTTTGGTTGTATGAATGTTTGTATTGGAAAATATTGTTTTGCAAAAATTTGAAATTTTTTTCTTAAGAACCAACCATTGGAGAACATTTTTGTTAAGATATTCTCTTTGTATCTTAGCTTTCAAAAAGCAAAATTTTAATTTTAAATAATGTTAAGAGCAAAAGTTAAGAGTCCATCAATAAATAGAGAAACCCGAAACCAAAACCATAGTCATCAACCAAAACACTTTTTATGTATATATATAATTGAGCAAATATGTATATTGAGCAAAATCACCCTATTATTATTAATCTCTCTTTTCTCCAAACACTTTTTTTTTTTTTTTCTCTCCGAGACCTCTCTCCTCTCTCGCAGCCGACGATCCCATCCAAAACCAAAACTTGCTCACCGGTGATCGTCTTGCCTTTACCTCGTCGACCTCTCCGTTTTTCTGTTGAATTCGATTTCGAAGGATTAGATTATCGAGATTCTCATAAGCGTGCTTGATTTTCAAATCAAGTGTGTTTATGAAGAACAAGCTTTAGAAGATTGTGGCTGTTGTCGACTGCAAGAGAGAGCGCTTACTTTAATTGCTTGCTTCATGTGACAAGGTGGCTCTCTTTAGGAACGGCAAAATGCTGCTACTTTTCAGAGTCCACCTTAGGCAAATCTCACCTCTCACCCAACTCCGCCGCCGTATCTCCACCATCTCTTCCGCCGGATTCACTCTCAATCTCCCAAAACTCGAACATTCCTCCGACGCCGAACTAATCTCCCAAATGCTAATAACAAATCACAACCCATTCCACTTCATGGAATCATCTCTCCAACTCAACGGCATCTCCCTCACTCCCAACCTCATCCACCAAACCCTCCTCCGTCTCCGTCACAATTCCAAAATTGCCCTCTCCTTCTTCCAATATTTACGCTCCTTACCCTCCCCTTCAACCCCAACACCAACCTCCTTCAATCTCATCATCGATATCCTCGGCCGTGTTCGTCAATTCGACGTTGTTAGACAACTCATCGTCGAAATGGATCACACTTCTCCGGAGACGTTTCTAATCCTCGTTAAACGGTTAATCGCCGCCGGGCTTACCCGTCAAGCAGTTCGTGCTTTCGACGATGCGCCTTGTTTTCTCGAGAATCGTCGTTTCGGGTTAGTCGAATTCGGGTTTTTGCTCGATACTCTTTGTAAATACGGTTACACGAAGATGGCTGTTGGTGTTTTTAATGAACGCAAGGAAGAGTTTGGGTGTGATGAGAAGGTTTATACTATTTTGATTGCTGGTTGGTGTAAACTTAGGAGGATTGATATGGCGCAGAAGTTTTTGGTAGAGATGATTGAATCCGGGATTGAACCGAATGTCGTTACGTATAATGTTTTGCTTAACGGGATTTGTCGGACGGCGAGTTTGCATCCGGAAGAAAGGTTTGAGAGGAATGTGAGGAATGCAGAGAAGGTGTTCGATGAAATGCGTCAGAGAGGGATTGAGCCTGATGTTACGAGTTTTTCGATTGTGCTTCATATGTATAGTCGAGCTCATAAAGCTGAGTTGACGTTGGATAAGTTGAAACTGATGAAAGCAAAAGGGATTAGCCCGACGATTGAAACATATACTTCGGTTGTTAAATGTTTGTGTTCTTGTGGGAGATTGGAGGAAGCAGAAGAGTTGCTTGAAACAATGGTGGAAACTGGGATAAGCCCGTCTTCTGCGACGTACAACTGTTTTTTTAAGGAATATAAAGGAAGGAAAGATGCTAATGGCGCGATGAATCTATATAGGAAGATGAAGAATGGACTGTGTAAACCAAGTACGCAGACATATAATGTTTTGTTAGGAACGTTTATTAATTTGGGGAAGATGGAGACAGTGAAAGAGATATGGGATGATCTTAAAGCAAGTGAAACGGGTCCGGATTTAGACTCGTATACTTCGTTGGTTCATGGGTTGTGTAGTAAGGAGAAATGGAAGGAAGCTTGTGGGTACTTTGTGGAGATGATAGAGAAGGGTTTCTTGCCACAAAAGCTAACTTTTGAGACATTGTATAAAGGTTTAATACAGTCTAATAAGATGAGGACTTGGAGGAGGTTGAAGAAGAAACTTGACGAGGAATCTATAACCTTTGGGTCTGAGTTTCAGAGATATCCTTTTGAGCCTTACAAGAGATGAGAGTTAGTAAAGTTGTTGATGAAGCAAACTGGCAAATTTCCTGTCTAATTTAAGGCATGGAGTCAAATTTTATTTAGTCTCTCCTTTTTTTTTTGTTCTTTTATAAAGTAATAACACATGTAAAATTTGTGGTCAGATTAGGTCAAAAGTTTTAGTGCTTTATACTTAATAGGAATAAGAATCTACTAAATATATTATGGTCGCAAATGTTTTCATTATATACTTAAGACTACAGTAAAACCTCTATAAATTAATACTCGATAAATTAATAACTTCTACAAATTAATAAATTCTTCCGGTCCCAAGTTGGGACCAGTGTAAAAAGTGATACAAATCGATAAATTAATAAGATAATAATTTTTTTAAAAATCCTATGTAAACATATGGTCCCATCAATATCATAAATTAATAATTGTATAAATATGTCAACTATATATATATATATATATATATATATATATATATATATATATATATATATATATTATGTAAGAAACTTCAATGAAATATAATTCTGTTATTATTATTATTATTTTTTAAATTCGCATTAGTTCTTGTTTGAATTTAATTCTAATATCTTTCCTAAATTTCGTGGATTTTTTTGGCGGGAAAAGTTTGATGGAATTTTATTTTTCCGGGAAATATTGAAAAAAAATTTTGGCGGGAAAATTTCGAAAACAAATTTTTGGAGGGAAAATATTTTTACGTCGCGGAAATTTTTTGGCGGGAAAAATAAATTTTGGCGGGAAATTTCTAATTTTATTTATTTATTTATTTTAATTAAACTAATTACTAATATTTAATAATTAATTAAAGTTTATAGTGCTATTTGTGGAATTTTTCAAATGTAGTGCTATTTTTAGAAGACAAACTTATTTTAGTGCTATTTTTGTCAATCTCCCTATTTTTTACTTGTAATTGGTCCTAGAAAGATATTTTATATAATGAAGTAAATCTTATATTTTCATAAAAAAATTTAAAAGTTGCAAAATTAGGAAAACTCTCTATAAATTAATAAATAAATTAATACCTCTATAAATTAATAGAATTTTGCAGTCCCAACATTATTAATTTATAGAGGTTTTACTGTATATCCGAATCCGCGGTAGATTTTTCTTAAATATTATTCGAAATTGTGTATGTATATTAATGTTACATAATTTTCAAATAATATATAGTTATTTTATTTTATTGTTTAGTTTTTGGCAACAAAATATACTTAAACTTTTATCATTAGGTGTTAGTGTGCTACGGGTTTGCCATATACACAATTTCCTTTTTTTGTAGCTGGTTTATTTTACAACTAGTGTCTACCCGGTGCTACGCACCGAATTTGTTTCTAGAATTTGGATTCGATAGTATTTTTTTTCTTTTTTGATTTGATATTATATTATTGTAGTTAAGCCAATCTTTTCTTAAGTTAAAATTCAGTTGATAGTATAAATTTACTCTAATAAATAACAATGAACAAGGTAAAATAGTTCAATTAATATGGTTAATAGTGATCTTTTGTATTACTGGCAAATTATATATTAGATATAAGAAACATATTTGTGTGCTATTGAATCTGTGAGTTTATTTTTACATCGAGTATGGGGCCGATTGGTAACGACTGTAAGTTTTGGCTTTAGAAGCTTTGACTTTAAAAATTTAAGGTGTAGAAAATTTGGCTGTAAAGACTTTGGCTGTAGAAACTTTTGCTGTTAAAATCTGATTGGTAGCACAAAACTGTAGAAGCTGTGACTCTTATATATTATTATTATTATATATTAATAATAAATATAAATTATGTTAGAAATGAATTCATATGCAAATATAGTTTTATTAATGATAGGAATTTAGAAAGAAAAAAAACAAAAATTGAGAAATAAAGAAATAAATAGATAAATATTCTGTAGAGAAAAAAAATTTATATATTATTCATTGATTTTTAGTAACCAAACATTACAATAAGAAAAAAACTAAAAATCCATTATTTGTTTTGGTAGGAACTTAAAATCCATTATTAATAATAAAATATTTATTTAAAAGAAATGATAAAAGTTTATAAATAAATATTCTAAATGCATACATTTATTTATATTTATTATTTCATGCCGAAATTTAATACCATCACATTAGTAAGAAGTAGGATAAACTTAAAACTTATATGGCTTTTGAAAAAAATACTAATTCTATATACTCTTTTAAACCAACATTAATGATGATGATGAAAATAAAATGATTATTAGTAAAATGGATCTTAAAAGAAAGATAGAAAAATGAAAATAATTAATTTATAAATAAAAAGTTATGAAAAAATATATGTAAAGGTGTAGAGAGTTTTTAATTATCAAGGGGATAAGAAAAAAAAAGTTTTTAATTGTTTATTTATTTAATAAATGTCCCGAGAAAACCAAAGTCACGTTTTTGAGACTTTAGAAAAAGAAGAGAAACAAAAAAGGAAAAAAAAAAAAAACTTTGAGAACTTTAAAAATAATTAAAGTAAAAAAGCCTAATTGGCTAAAACAAAACTATGAAGACTTTAGAATAGCTCTAAAGTCCTTAAAGCCTTGTGCCAATTACCCCTATATCTACTCTTTCTTGATACATGCTTTCTTTTCTTAATTCTTACTACAGGCTCTTTGATGATTATTGTTTGGAAAAAAGATGGCTGGCTACACGAAGTATCTAACTACACAAACTATATGTATTACATGCCCACATATACGAACTATATGTAGTCATGTCGCCAACATCACAAACATTTTTTTCCGATACATTTTTCATATACGAAAAATTGTAGTTTGTTTCATCTACCATTTCTTGTTGCCACTCGTAAATGGAAACACGTAATTGTGTGTATAATAAAAATGTAAGATTCTAAGATAAACGAAGACAAGATGTAACCTTCTTATCAGCTATAATGTCATTCTCCAATTCCTTATTTAATTCACCTTGTGTTAGATCCGATAACTGTTAGGATGAATTTATAGAGTTTTTCATCTAGAGTTTTTCTTAATGCATATTTTAGAGTAGCTAACTAGAATTTGATCTTAAGATTAATTAGGATGAAAGTGTGATTTTTTCTGAACTATTTTAGATGAGCAAAAATCCATATTCTCAAAGAGATTTGGTTTAGGTATTTTTGTGAACATATCGACCCTGATCTTTATGCTTGTTTAGAAGTAGTATTCACAATGAGAGTTGGGATCCTAGATTTTAGACATAGTTAACCAAAACAAACGCGTGTTGATTGGTTTAATTTAGTGATTTGAATTTTAGAATCGTTTTAAAAAAATCCTAACAGTAATTTAATTTATCTGCAATTCTGCTATTTCTTGAGAATTTTCCTAAGCCTGACGTATTTTCCATTTAAATTTACTTTAAATTTAATTGTTTTTCTCTGTTTTTAATTTCATACAATTTCGTTTAACTTGATTTTGAGACTTACAATTTTCTGTGTGAATAAAAAAAGATTTTCGGAAATCGATCCTAAAGTATTTCAGAGATTTCTTATTTGAAAGAATAATCTTAAAACTAATATAAACTTATCAATATTCCCTGAGTTAGTGGGATATACACGTTCAAATTTTTTTTTTTTTTTTTTGATTATTGTCCCCCAATTAACCATGTGATTTGATATGAAATTTGTTTGAAAATTATGCTCCCGTTGACACACCAAAGTCCACACCTTTAATATTGAGTATCTCGATATTTTAATCCAGAATTTACCACAAAATATCTTAGGGGGTATTGGACGAAGGAAATCTATATATATAATTAGAGAATCTTCTCTCCATTTAGGGTGTCCACCTAAGTATCTACCTAAGCAATAATATTTATTTTACATTAAAATAAATTTAAAACATCTATTTAGTGCATTTACAAGTAATAGAAATAATAAATTTTAAATAAATCAAAAACGAATTATGTAAATTAAATGAAATAATAAAATAATACTAAAATTTTTTATAAGTAAGACTAACATAATTCAACTTTTAAATAATAAAAATTAAATATGGTCACTATTTAAAATTTTAATTATGTTAATGAGTTTTAGACTGGAATTAAATTTATATAATTCAATATGTCACTACAAAAAAATGATCATTTTATATCACTTATTTTGAATATTTGTATTACTTATAAGTGATGTAAAAGAATTTTACATCACTTAAGTAAATGATTTATATATTATTGATGCAAATAATTTACATCACTTGGAGAAAATATTTGCATCGATTATTTAAACAAGAAAATAAAATTCAAAGTGAAACATTAGTTTCGGAAACAATATACTACATATTTTTAGTTATTATTAAATTTTTACTTAAAGAAAAATATAAAATTACTAAACTAAACTTAAATTTATAATTTAATAAGTACGACTGATATAATTCAAATTTTAAATGATAAAAATTAAATATGGTCACTATTCAAAATTTTAATTGTGTTAATGAGTTTTAGAATGAAAGTAAATTTATGTAATTCTATATGTGAAACTTTAAACAAGAAAATAAAATTCAAAGTGAAACATTAGTTTAGAAGAACAATATACTACATATTTTTAGTTATTATTAAATTTTTACTTAAAGAAAAATAAAAAAATTACTAAACTCAACTTAAATTTATAATTTAAGAAGAAATATTTTAAGATGCAAACTTTATCTTGTGAAATTATAAAAAACAAATCTTGAAAATTTTAAAACATTATATATATCTTTTAAAAAATAAATAATCAATGATCACATTATTCATGAGTTTTACAACAAAATATATTAAAAAAACTCACTAAACCGGTTCTAGCAACATGGTATTATAGATGTACCTTTACACTAAATAATGTTCATGAAACTCGGTATATTCACATTTTATATGGAATGATGCTATGTTCGTATCAACATTTAATCATAAATAAAATCTACAATTAGGTCAACGGTCGATAATTAATATCAAAACTTTTAAGAAATGCCTTCATGGAATATGAATAAGAAAGAAACTCTGTTAGAGTGTTGATACCGTTTATTCTTTCCGCGAATTTCTTAAGTGGTTTTTGTTATCACGTGATATATATCAAATTATTTATTTGTCAAATAAACATTATCGTCGATAATATATCTTATTATATAAAGTAAGGTTTTCAAAGTCAATAACTCATATGATCGTGACACGTGGTAA